AGTTGCACAATTCTGAACATTGTTAATGTTAAAATAGAAATAGTTTTGTGATCCCAAACCCATATATTTTCAAGATTTGTAACTAATACAAAAGTATATCCCTGATACAGATTGTAAGCATAAATTCTTCGAATTCAAATGTTAATAAAAGTTAACGATTTAGATCAATTATAAGATAAAAGATAAAATTGCAATATCCTTCCTGGACAGTCATTTCATCAAAATTCTAGTACATTAATATAAAAAAACAAATAAGAATTTTAATACTAATAGTATGTTTGACTTAGACGTGATCTGGAGTTTATGAAACTCATATATGTTTACTTTAAGAATACTAACCTTAGATTGTAAGTTTGATTAACCTTGTGTTTGTTTTAGTTTGTGTATTGTGCGTGTAGTTTTTTTTTTAATGTTTGTTTTCAAGATGAATAGAAATAAGTTCATGTTTTAGGATTAATTAAATATTTATATAATAAATCATATTTCAAACCTCCTTCTCCCTTTCCCCATCCAAAAAACTGTAAATCTCCACTAACCTCGAGACGACCGCGAGTAATCGGTTCAATTCCTTTAACTCTAGATTTAATACATTATTCATGTATAATGCAAATGATAACTCGGCTCTGTAAAGTTTATTCGATTGAGCCTGTACAAATAAATTAATATAAAAAAAAAATGTTTGACTTAATCAAGAGTTTAAAAAAAAACTCCTCAAAATAAATAAGCCTTCTAAAAAAATATGGACGAAATTTTGTTCAAATTAATTTAATGGACTAAAAAAAAATTTCGACAAGTTTTTAATCTCCTGGTCTTCAAGATTCGTTATTCAAGATCTTAGGAAACTTACCTAGATTCTGAGATTCACAGCATTTCTCGAGAGAAAAATTGTTCGAGATAAGAAAGTAAGAAAAAATTAGGAATCAAAAATTTCGAAAAATCTTGACATGTGGCAAAAATTGTAACAGGTTTTTAAGATACTGAACAGAACAGAACATTTTTTTAATTTTAAAACTAACTATCAAAATCAAGATTTAACTATATTTCTAATCGAAAGGAATACACTTGAAACTTGCATGATTTTGTTCCTGCTTATAACTAGGGGGCTGTTCATAAACTACGTAGACAGTTTTTTTTTGGATTATTGACCCCCCCTCCCCCTGCGTAGACAATTGTCCATACAAAAATTTAAAAATTTGTATGGGCCGTGGATAATCGTCAACCTCCCCCCCCCTAAACTGTCTACGTAGTTTATGAACAGCCCCTAGATAGTAATTTAACTTTTTTTTTACAAAAGTTGGTATTTTTTTTAATATTTTAAATTTAGTTAGTTGTGGTTAAACCCATTTGGTATCAATTTATTATTTACATGTACATTGTACAGGAAAGAGCTTTTTCAAGTTATTTATTTAATCAAAAAATACACACAAAAAGCACGTAATTTCTTATGTACTGATTCATGCAAACTATCCTGCAGCTGAATTCCGGGCATACAATTCATCGAAACGAAAGAAATTTATACATATTAGGTATATGCAGAAATTGAAATTTCTGCCCGGAATTTAGCTGCTGGAGTGCAAATTTGTGACAATATAGCTAAAACACCAAGGCACGGGTCTTTCCTATAGAGAATGTACAAATATTACCATTAAATCAAGATTCATCATTCAAGATTCCATCTGATTCCATTAGCGGGAAAACTTTTGAATACTTTTTTTTTCAATTCTTTATTAAACAGATTTTTAGCCTTAGGCTAGTTCATCTCTAACTTTTGAATACTTTCTGATCAACCTACAACCTACCCAGCGAATCCAAACACATAAAGCAACCAACGATACAGACAAAACGGTTGCTACGACTACCATGACAAACTCGCTCTATAACATAGCTCGATCCAAGTGGTAAAAGGATAATGATATATTGCTTGCCTGCTTTGTTGCAATATGCACGGATGAGGACATTGCTTGAACTGAATCGAGAAAAGACATAACAAAAAAAATTCCCATTAACACACGTGTATAATCTTCGGCTCTACTTCGTGAAGCAGTTTTCCAACAATTTGCTCATTTCCTTCTACCGCCCCGAGTGAGTTGTGTCGCACGGGTTGCTTGTCATGAAAAAGAACGAAGAAGATTATATCATTTTGCTTTGCACTTCTGACATAGCGTTATTAATCGGTTCGTTGATCGCTTGTCATTTTGTCATTTGGAGATATTTTTGATTCCTTGAACCTACCAAATATCCAGTGAACTTTACTAATATCTTGGACTATATGGAAATCTTTCGAATATTTCCTGATGTCTAGGAAGGATGTTTGAAAGAATATCCTGTTATTTATGCTACGTTTCCTGAAAATCTACAAAACTTAGGTTTTACAAAATTTCCTCAACTTCTATGAAGTTCCTTGAGTTTATTGCAAATTCCATATTTTTTTCCATTTCTTTAAACTCTACAAAGATCTCTGAACATTTTTGCACTTCTGGAAAGCCACCTAAGACATCTACAAATATTCTTGAACACCTAGAAAGTTCCTTGAATTCAGCGAAGTTCCCAAAACCTCCAAGACGTTCATGGAGCTTTTTTGGAGTAAGATCTCTGAAAAACTGCAACGAAGTTCCCTAGACTGAAGCGAAGATCCCTGAAGTTCTTAGAAATGTATTGAACTATTTTTAGATCTTTTAAAAAATTCCCTGAACATTTTCAAAATTCCTTACACTTATATGAAGTTTTACGCAGCTCCTCAAAATGCTACGAAATTCGAAAATCTTCTACAAAGTTTGCTGTTGAATCTCCACAACTATTCCAAGTCCATGAGGCTAAAAAAACTGAAATTATGTAGAGGTTCCCGAACAATAATGAGCTTCCCTGAAATAAAATAATGTTCCTTTAACTTCTACGAAGCTCCTCAAATTAAAATGAATTCTCTACTTCTACGCAGTTTTCAAAACTTTTCCAAGTTCCTTTTTGCTACGAATTTTTCTGAAGGTCTATGAATTTCCCAGAATTTCTACCAAGTTTACTTAATTTCTACGATCTTCCCTGAACTTCTATTTGAAGTTTTACGAAGTTTCCACAAGTTAAAGAAAAATTCCTGGACTCATGGATAATTTGTAGAGCCTGAAGACGTCTTATTGCCATCGATTTGATATACTATAATTTCTCGAAATTGTTTCTTCTAGTCCAGAACATAACAAAAGTGATCAACATAAAGGAGTTTAAAAAATCTTTGTTGGTGGTGCAATTTTATCACTGTTGAATAGTGGCATTGAACTTAACAAGCTTCACAAAATACCGGTGAGTCAAAAACAAACACCAAAAATTCTGGAGGGGGCCTGGCCCCCCTGGCACCCCCATTAGTTATACCAATGGGTATAATGGAGGTATCTAGTTCCTTTTCACATCCAAATAATAAAGCTGCATTTGATTCAATATATTTTACAATTCACATGCATACTAAAGCAGCAAAGCGAAAGAATTCTGAACAAATCAACTCACCATCCGGAAGAACTTTGCCGCATGTACAACTTTGACGATGACAGTAGCTTTCTGACCTTACAAATATTTTACATGCACACTAGCGCCGCATACCGACAATATTCTGAACTATTTACTGTTCACCAGCCAAAAAGCTTTGATCTCCTAAACAATTTTGCTGAAGACAGTAATTTTCTAGCTGTTCAGGATCTCGAGTTGTAGCATATATGAAGATTGCAGTGAGAAAACTCTGAACTACTGTTCACCAGTCAAAAAACCTTGACCTCCTGAACAACTTTGCCGAAGACAGTAACTTTCTATTTGGTCAGGATCTCGATATATTTTATACGTGAAAATTTCACGTGTATACTAGCGCCGCGTAGTGAGACAGTTCTGAAACATTGTGCACCAAAAATAGGCTTCAATCTCCTGAACAACTTTGTTCAAGACAGTAACTTTTTATCTGGTCAAGATCTCGAGATATATCACAGGCGAGAATTTCACATTTCACTAGCGCTACGTAGTGAGAAAATGTTGAACAACTGTCCACGAGCAAAAAGTTTATGTTGAACAACTTTGCCCACGACAGTAATTTTCTATCTCGTCAAGAACTTGAGATATTTTATATGCGAATTCCACATGTATACTAGCACCATGAAGTGGGAAAATTCTTAACTACTGTGCACCAGCCAAAAGACCTTGACCTCCTAAACAACTTTGTCGCAGACAGTAACTTTCTATCTGGTCAGGATCTCGAGACATAGCATATGCGAGAAAGGCACGTATATACAAACGCTGTATAGTGAAAAAATCTGAACTATTGTCACCCGACAAAAAGATCTTGACTTCCTGAAAAACTTTGCCGAATACATTTACTTTCTATCTTTCTATAGTAGCGCTACGTAGTGAGCAAATTCTGAACTACTGTCCACCAGCGACAAGGCTATGATCTTCTGAACAACTTTATCCCAGACAGTAATTTTCTATCTGGTCAGGATCTCGATATATTCCATGTTGTAATCAATTAAGTCAAATCCCACGTAGTACGGACACTGTTGACGCACTAGAAGGACTTTCTTCACTAGTAGTTAACTAGCACCGAGACGAACTCTGCAGTAATAACTGCCCAAAACTGAGCCATCGATCACTAAGTCCCTTCTTACGGGGGGACTTTAATGCACACTCGATCACTTTGTGATCGACCGACCAGAGAAACAGACGACGTAAGTTCTGTTTCCTTCAACGTATATTTTGTAACTGTTGTAAGTATTCCGGATACCAACGGGATCAGATTTGCGGCACACGCTTCTTGGTCAATTCCCAGTGATTCAAGCGATTATCCGATGTCTCCTTCCAATTCAAATCAGGAACCGCTTGAAGATTACTTAGGAAGTGTCCTGGAGTCAAGACGTCAAGGTCGGTGGGATCCTCCGGAATTGGTGTGAGGGGTCGAGAGTTAAGACACATCTCGACTTGCGCCAATTAGGTCAGAAGATCTTCATAAGCTATATTGACATTACCGATCGTCTTCAGAAGGTGTGTCTTCGCCGATTTGACTGCGGCCTCCCAGAGACCTGTGGTGCCCGGGGCGGAATGAACTTCCACGAGATTTCGTTGGATGAAAACCAGTCGAAAATTTGTTCACGATCGGAAGTTTCGACCTTCAGCATGCGGTAGATCCTGTTAAGGGTATGCGAAGCACCTTTGAAGGTAGTTGCATTGTCGGAATGGAGTTCGACGACCTTTCCTCGACGGGTGACTAGGCGACGGAGTGCAGCTAGAAAAGCAGTGGTTGTTAAGTCGCTAACCAGCTCAATATGGACAGCCCTGGTTGAGAAGCAGACGAAAATTGCCACGTACACTTTGGTGGGGCCACGCTTTCGAATTGCAGACTTTACGTAGAATGGTCCACAATAATCTAAACCGCACACGGAAAACGGATGCGTCGGTGAAACTCGCGATACCGGCAGATCGGCTGTGCTCTGCTGGACTAGAGTGGGCTTGGATCGGAAACAAGTGTGGCATTGGTGGTAAACGGACTTGACAAGATTTCTACCGCCGAGGATCCAGAACTTCTGGCGAAGAGTGGCTAACAGGAGTTGTGGACCTGCGTGCAGTAGTCTTACGTGGTAACTGCTAGTCAGCAGAGCAGCTAGCGGATGTTTGGCGGACAACGCGATTGGATATTTGATCACGTCGGACAGCGCGGCATTACGTAGACGACCACCAACGCGGAGAGTACCGTCTTCATCTACGAACGGTGTTAACCACTTCAGTGCTGATGACTTGGCGACACGGTCGCCGTTTGAGAGATCTGACAGCTCCTCAGTGAAACTATCGCGCTGTGCTAAACGGCAGAGTAGTTGTTCGGCGTATTGTAGCTCGGCAGCGTTCAGTGGTAGAACGGAAGATGATTTATCTCGGACGTTCATGTTCAACGTAGGAGAATGTTTAATATTTGGAATGGTAATTTAACACTTAACTAATTGGATTGATATTTACAAATCTTATTCCTATCTCCAACATTCCGGCCACCTTGAAATATGGAATGTTTCAATGTTTGTTAATCCTACTATTTACAAATTCATTCCCTTAAACTATTCACTGTCGAGGCTCCGATTCCGCATTATACCGTATTCGCTGGCTTAATGGTGACCGTATGATCATTATTCCCAGATTGATTCAACGGACGTATGGGATGACGGTAGATTCCTCGAAGTAGACCGGGCACAAGAAAAAACACCAGGTAGATCATTCAAGGCAAATATATATACTTGGACCTGCAATTACCTGTGCAATGCACAGGTGCGCATCGAGCAATTTCTCCCATAATGGGTTGCTCTACCTGGCTAGTTGATTGATGTAGGTTGTGACGAAGGAAGTAAGGCGATTCGTGCTACGGAACGCACGACTTCCTTAGATGAGGCTGTGCGGAGAGTCACCACCCGGACGACGCCATCTTTTCCAGGATTAAGCTTCACGATTTTCCCCAGCGGCCAAGTGTGCATTGAAGTCCCCCCGTAAGAAGGGACTTAGTGATCGGTGGCTCAGTTTTGGGCAGTTATTACTGCAGAGTTCATCTCGCTGCTATTTAACTACTAGTGAAGAAAGCCCTTCTAGTGCGGCAAGACGTCTATCGTCAACAGACACCGTTTACGCGGTTTCCATTTACATTTTCCCTATTATCCGTATTTTTTAGATGTTTACTGTAATCAAAGTTTAGCTTGTTTAGATCAAAAAAAGTTGTTTGAGGTTTCAGATCAATTGGTAACTCAGCAACAAAATGGCAATGGAAAACTCATGTGTGTTGTACAAATTACAACAGCGCGAGTAACGCAGGGTTAATAAGGCGGTAATTATCATATTTAGAGAAAATCTACTTAAAATATACTACGTTATAGAAGAGAGAAAAATACAATTGAGGTTCGATTCCCGTTATGGTCTAGGACATTCTTCGGGTTGGAACTTTTCTCGACTTCCCTGGGCATAGAGTATGCTTGTGCTTGCCGCACAATATACAAATTCAGGCATTGGTTGGCAAGGAAAGCTCTCAATTAATAACTCTGGAAGTGCATCAAGAACACTAAATTGAACGCTCGCTAAACAAGCGAAAAAATAAAGTCCAAAAGTAGACCTCTGCCGTTGTATAATGACCAAAAAAAAACCTTAAGTTACACCACGGCACGGCTGGAACGGCTAAAGCCGGCAATTTTCTAATTTTCCACAAAGTCCCACCAAACATCACAGACCCGCTTACGAATGCTTTCCGGTTTATTTGCTCTACTTCGGGTTTCTGCTCCGCCATAATCGTCGTCAGGAAAGTGTATCCAACCCATGTCGAGGGTGGAAGCAAATATTTAGCTTGACTTTTGACCCACCCAGCAGCCTTCCGACGAAGCTGAGGGTTCTCAGCACATAAAATCACATGTTTACCTTTCTGGTTATGTGCGTCGCTGGCAGTTTTCCTCTCTCTACCCAATTCACTCGGTGTGTAAAGCCGAAAAGTTTCCCTCATTTAGTTTGGTACTTTCTTAGGAATACTTTTTTTTCTTTCCTTTTCTGAAGCGGGGACAGTCTTAAGCAGAGAAAGATTCAATTTAGAACAATGGGTCACCAGGGAAGGAAACCGTAGCAGAGCCACCGGCGGCGGAAATAATCATAATCTCCGAACACTTTTGGATCACGTTGGCACTGCAATATTGCAATGGGGAAATAAAGAAATTACGCTTCAATCTAGTTAGCCGGTGGTCTTTGTGTTGAGGGGTTTCACTGTCATGACAATAACAAGGAGTTATTTAAGGGAGTGAATTGTGGAGGATGGTTGATTAGTAAGTGGTAAGAAATTAATTTCGTCTAATAAAAAGCAAACAGAAAGCCGACGGGAAAGTAATTTTCTGTGGTTAATTTTGCTTGAGGGGATCTATGTAGACAATTTAGTTTGTATTTATTTTCGATTTCACAAGATAACACATGCCGATGGCCATTGTTTAACATGTGTAGGGGAATTTACGTATTCTCGGCAACCTAAGCAGCGACCTTCTTTCTATAGCCTTTTTTTTCTATGGAACGCACACATATGCAGTATTGGTTTGTTTACAATCTTTTGCTGCCAGCTGCTCTAACAATTTCAGTCGAAAGAATTGTCAAAAACTGTTTTGAAACGCTTTTACAAAGCTCCAATCTTCTCTAGTGAGAGCGAGTATTGTCGGCAACCAGTTTTTCTTCGGCAACCGTTCCATTTGAACTGCATGTAAATCTGCTGTTCTATTATCGGCAGCTCGAAATCAGCTACAATTTGTAGTGCGTGTGTTTCATTTCAAGAAAACCCTGCTAGATTGCTTTTTCTCAGTGGTAAAAATATAGTCAAATTGAAGCTGAAAGCATAAAGAATCGTTTGCATGCATTCAACAAAGTGTTTTCGTAAGAAAATTCAGTGAAAATAGTGTTTCAATTTGGGTTGCCGAAAATAGTCTATCATGCCGAAGCCGTCATTTCCCCTATATATTTTGATAATTTTTATTTTGTGTTGTCATAAAACATAGTATGCCAAAAACAGATCGTGCTAAAATAGGAACAGAAATGTATAATTGGAAGTACATCCAAGATTCAAAGCAAACAAAAAATCGAACATCAAAACTATCAAAACCCAGCCTGACCGCCATGCAAATGCTCAACCGTGTGCAAGAGGAAAAATGAAACGAGCAACCATTTCCGGTAGATCGTAGAAAAAGATTCGTCCCGTCTATAGGTAAAACCGTCGTCAAAGCACCAAAAGCATCGAAGCAACCGTCACAACACGAATCTGACCAAAGCTGGAAACGGGCACGGCCTGCCTCGCCATTTGAGGTCCTGACTGCTTGGTCGGTCGCGCCCGAGCGAGGTTGTTATAAATGTATAAAGGAACGAAATACACAATACATTAATATCCGTTTTAGCTATAATTAATATCCGACATTAAGGCTTCGGGTTCGGGTGCACTCTGGGCTGTGCAATTCCGGAACTATAAAACTCGGACTGACTTCGTTTTTCACTCAGCATTGTGGATAGGTAGCAACAGCAGCAGCAACCAGAACGTGACTCGACGATTTTGACTGAGTTTAGAAGAGCTGGGCTGCCTGGAAGGATGCGGACAAGGCTTTTGATGACTGTGCCCCAAGGAAAGGGGTTCAGAAAAAGCTTCCGTCATGCAGAGAAAACCCCACGGCAGCAACGAGCGGCAATCAATTCAAAAGTGGAAATAGTTAAGCATGACTTTCACTTTGAAGCCAGCCAGCGCGAGTGCGGCACGGGTAAACATATGGCTTTTCGTAGTTTGCTATAATCCTGAAACGGAGCCGAAAGCAGGATGTTTATAAATTTTTAATGACTTTGACTGATACACTGACTCTGGAGGAGTCTTCCTGGTTCGGTAAAAGTTTATACAAGATTCATGCATTGTTTGGTGGTGATGAGTAGAAACTATTGTTTGGCCTAATAAGGATGAATCGTTCTTCTAAAGACGCTTCTATCAAAAGTCACTTTGGGGAGATTAATGATTGTTTCAAACTAACTCCGTTATAATCCAAAGTCATAGGTAACATTGTGATACACTGGAAACGATTTTATCCACGCAGTTCACATCATTCGAACAAGCATTTGAACTTATCTCCCACTGAAACCCACACTCAGTACTGATCGGATCAAGTTAATTGCCTCGCATTACTCACTCGCTCCCTCAGTCGGCGGTGGTGTAGGAGTTGCATGTGTAGATAAACGGAGCGCTCTCACCTGAAGGAACTCCACCTCGGTCGCTTGCATCGCCAACTACTATGGCGGCATCGGCATCGGCACGCAATTGTGAAATTGATAAATCTGATTGACGGAATAATCCGCATCCCTACAGTGCCCGTCCGAGTTGATGTTACATGCGATCATTGCCCGCTCGCACCGAAGTCTGAATTATTCAAATTACGTTTGACAGTGGAACAATCGAACGATAAATTGCAATCTTTAACTTCCCCGCTGCTATCCCCTTCCGGGTTCGGTCTTCTACGTAGATTGAGCGGGAATCTCGTCCGTCGCTGGCGTGAGTGTGGTATATGGAGATAGGTTATAATCTTCTTCCACCAAAGCAGCGAATCGATTGGGAGACGCAGGCGATTGGAAATTGATTGCTCGCCCCCCGGTCGATTATGCTGGCGTGGCGTTCCATACCGTTTTGGATTGCTTCGAGTACCTACATGTGTAGAATACCTTCGTACATGCAACATGGTCTGGTGGGGCTTGGCATGACGGGGCTTAGTTCGATTGTGGTCCTTTAAATCAACTGACTTTTCACCCTGGAGGAAGAATTAAGTCTTCGGTGGAGGTGCTGTTGTTGTGGAACTTCTAGATCGTGCCGGGGTGGTTCTTAAATTGTTTTACCGTTTTAGCTCACTTCAGTGGGACTAAGTTAACAGTGAATACAATTAACTGTATTTTTTGACAAAGGATTGCGTCTGTCGGGAACATATTGGGGGTGCAATTTAAAAAAAATCAAAATCGATCGCGTTACAGAAAGTGGTGAGGTTTTGACTATTTATTATTCTGTCAATAGTGGTTGGATTTTAATTATAAACAAACCAATCGATTGAAAAATTTTCTACAAATCTGCTAAAATGAAAACTTTATAAATGTTGGTGGTCAATATTGAAAATTACACCAATTTCCAACTGTTGCAATGGTGATCAAAATTATCACCGATTGTATGCAAACAGCGCTTTCCCTAACACAGATTTCAAAATCGAATCCCATCCGGTCTCACCGAACGGTGCTTATTCGTCGTCATCAGAAGAAGCAGCAGCAGTGCTTTTGGCAGGAGGCGTTGTACATTTTCCTCCAGTACACAACGAAACGCTCCCCGTAAGCAGCTAGCTATCAAGGCTGCGCTCAAGAGCCCAAGATGCACCGAAGA